ATGACTTCGTTTCGAGTAAATTATGGACGCTACTCACTCAGGACACTTGGATTACATTGGACGAGCAGTATGGAGGAATATTGACACGTTTTTGTGGACTTTTGTGGACCTTTCTGTCTCGGGCGCCATAGACCTCCATTATTTGAATGTCAGCAGACAGCAAGAAGCCTCCCAGATCTCCAGATGCATTTGAGATATCAAAAAAGTACTCCAGAGTGTTGTTCAGCATGGGGGTGAGTAGAAAATGAAGGCTAATCATGTTTTGGGTGTACTATTCCTTTAAGTAGAGTTCTATGTAACCGTTAAATATAGAACAGCTAATTGATTCCTGGGAACGGGTTTGAGGGAGCAGTTCAAAACAGGACACTTTTAAATAGAAAAAATACAATAATGGACTAAGTGTGCTGTTTAAAACCCTTCTGATTGCCTTATTTGTCACCTATTGCCTTAGTATTTTTTATTTTTACTTGGTAGGCATTTTATTTTGGGTAATCTAATGAACAGTTTCCACAGCATATTCATATACTCTTAACATAAAGAAGCTTTGATTTGGTTAAAATCCAAAGAATTACTTCTATAATAAAATGAAAGAAAAAAATTTAACTTTATTGATGTCACAATTGAGAAATTATCTCTCTGCATTTAATCCATCTCCTTTGGAGAGCAGTGGGCTGCCACTGTGCGTCTTTCTCAGAGAGCAAGAGTGGCAGTCTGTTGGAGCGGTTTTTTAACTCACAACCTCAGGATTCCAAGCTCTATGCCTTAACCACCAGGTCGCCACTCCCCTGGCCCCTACTCCCCTTTTTACTGTAGGTAAAACATTTCAAATGAAATTAATGTTGGACAAATTTCTAACAATTTGACTGAGGCCCAAAACCTTTACCTAAATGTTTCATGTAGTGCAACTAATGATGCATTATATTAAAATAAAGTATAATAGGGACAACTGGAATCAATAAAGTTTCATGTTTCTGTTGATTCATTACCATTGCTGTGAGTTTTAGACTTTCATGATTGCCATTTGTCACATAAGCTATTTCATTTCCCCTTTCTGTGGTGTATTTTCATTTTTCAGTTTTTGTTTCTGTTTAATTTTATTTTTGTTGTCGTTTTTGTTTTAAAGACAACATTTCTTCCTGGGACCGCTTTCCTCCTGGTGAGTTGGGAGGGATCTTTACTGTCCCAGAGTCTTGCTTCCTAACCTGAAGTGATTGCTTGTTCTTGCTGCAAGCTTCAGTTAAAAAAAATTCCTCATAAAGGTATTTTACTCTCTTTAGGTGGCAGAGGGTCATACAGTGACATCGGAGGCCCGGTCATCTCAACGCAAGTCACCATCCCAAAAGATGTAAGTGGAACCTGATTGTTGTGGTAAATATTGACATAAATCAAATGCTTTTGACGCTCATAAACCCACTTTCCTTTTCACTGTTGTGCAGCTGGCCGGCTCCATCATTGGAAAGGGCGGCCAGAGAATCAAGCAGATCCGCCACGAGTCTGGGGCATCTATCAAGATTGATGAACCACTAGAGGGCTCTGAGGACCGCATCATCACCATTACTGGGACACAGGACCAGATCCAGAACGCCCAGTACTTACTGCAGAACAGGCATGTGGTTTTCCAAACAACCTACATCATCTCAATGCAGCTGAGCTGTAAGAAGAGAGAGAGAGATAAAGTAATATGTTTTAGTGGTTATAAATGTTCTGGTTCTAATCTTGTAAAATAATTCAACATTTTAATTTATTTAAATTCTTTTTTAAACATTCAACCTTTTAAGTACAATTTATAGATGAGATAATTTTTGCCTTTTTGACTAATTTAGAGCATGAAATTAATAAAATGTGTCTGTAATTAGAAAATTCCTTGATAGTACCAGCATGTGTTCCTTTCCTCCTCATTACACCGTGATTGAGTAGGTCTGGTTGGGGAGTCGGTTCCAGCAGACAGGATTTATTTCCAAACCTTGACCTTGGTTTTTCTATTACAACATCAGCTCCACACGAAGGATGTCTTGCAGCTTGCAGCATCCAGTAATTACAGACCTATGTCATGCTTCTGCTGGCATAAATATTCTTCATGTGTTAACTAAGTTTTCTTTTTTTCCAGTGTGAGGCAGTACTCTGGTCGGTTCTTCTAGAGGGGAGAGAAAAAGGGAGAAGCCATGCTGCCATATTGTTTGCTGACTCTGTTCAGAGCCAACATTCCTCTGCTTTGGGTAGATGTGTCCCTTCCCTTTAACCGTCTCTAGCTACGCCACCAATGTGTTCTCAAGCTTTTATTTAGAGGCCTGAAAAATCCATAATTCAATGTTTGTGTATTATTATTTTTTTTATATATATTTTGCTCTACTGGTATATAACCCATCTGTGTTATTAGGTTTGGTGTTTTGTGAGCCGGCCCTAGGGCTTATTTTTCTTCTTCAGTACAGCAACCGGAATGTACTTTCTTTTTTTTCTTTTGACCTTGTTGGGTGAAAGATATTTTATTATCTACTATTGACTTTTAAGAAAATTTTCCAAACAAAGATGAAAGGTTTTACTTGATTAAAAAACAAAAGGATTAGAAGAAAGTTCTGTAAGTTTTTATTTTAAGGTTTCCATTACGCATCTCCATATGCAAAAGGTGTTTTCTAAGTAGGTTATATCATGGGTTATGGGGGAAACATTCACTTTGGGTCACTAGAAATTAATAGCATCTCAATTTCACAAAGAATGAAAGTTAAATGTTACATTTTATACTTGAACTGAGTTCAAAGAGAAACTGGTTAAGAGTTTGACTTTTCTGTGATAGTATGGAGGTACGACACAGTCAGTCTGTGGTCCAACTGGATATGTGAAAACATCAGATTTTATTGTATTTTAAAAGAACAACAACCTTTTTTTTCATTGTTGCTAAAATTAGATAAAACACGGGCAATCTCAATTATGTTGAAACATAGTTTATATAAAAATAAGCAAATTGACATTTTGCTACTGGCAACTTTTATATGCAGCCAGAAAAGTAAAGTTTACTATCTATCTATCTACCTATATATATATATATATATATATATATATATATATATATATATATATATATATATATATATATATATATATATATATATATATATATATATTAAAAGAAAGTAATAAGGTACCTGCTGGCCCATAACTTGCACACTAAAACACCTATTAATCAAAGTCCAGTATTAACACTGATGCTGCCTTTTCTTTTTTAGAACAACAGTCCAGACCTGTGATTTTTGATGACACATTTTCTGCAGGTTTAATGTGGAAACGATTGTGCTCGACTGTTCAGATAAGAAAAAAAGAATATTTGAAAGATGGTTATACAATTTGTGTATATATTTGCTAAAACCTGCAGTTTTTTTTTTAGTTTGGTTTTGACTAAACTGTGTGATTCTTCCTTGGAACAGAAAATGCCAAACAGCAGATTTACTTGTTTCTTTTTTTTTTTTTTTCCTATGGTGGCCTTTTTGTGCCAAATATTGAAATAAAAGAAAACCTGTTGTATTTTCCCTGTTTAAAACACATTTAAGAAAAAAAATAAAAGAATGTAATAAAATATTAAAGAACAAAGCCGTGTTGAAGATCTATAATTTTTAATGTAGGCATGCTTTTGTAGGAATTTGGCCATTTCAGTTCTTTGCCATTTTTGAGGATTATTTTTAAGGTAGTTTGGTGCCTGAATTTCAGATATGAACTGCAACACATTCAAAAGCAACCTTAATCACTTTAACAGCTGTAGATTTTTATAATCTTCTCTGTGGTTTGAAGTCTGCAGTGATTTCAGGATTTATAGTCATTTTAGTTTGAAAAGGAATCCAGGGTTTCTGCGGGCCATTAAAAGTCATTAAATTATTATTTTTTACATTAAGGCCTTAATTGGAATTAAAATTCATTAAATGTGATTATCATTGTATTTAAAATGCTTTATAAAAAAAATTGTCAAATTTATCAGATTTAACTGTTTCCACGTGTTTGCGTGGAACTGCTTCTGGTTTATCCTAAAGCCATATGTTCGGAATAGAAGCTCGAGGCAGAGAAAAAGCTAAACATTGGGAAAATGCAAATTTTACATAAGTGGCTGGAAAACGAGAAATTCAGGACATGGCTGCAGCCATTTGATGGTAAAGATTACGAAGGATGAAAGTAATGGGTACTTATTGATGGCATTAAAATTATTTCTAAGAGCATTAAAAGAGCATCAAAAGGCATTAAATTAAGAGTTCCTCCTTCCTGTATAAACCCTGGAATCAGAAACTCAACTTTACCAATGTCCACTGGAGATCAGAACTAAAATAAATGGTAAGATGCAATACAAAATCTTCATCAGATGGTAATATTTGATTATTTTCATTATTTTCTCTAATAAAAAAACAACCCAATTACTGAAAAACAAGCCAAATCATGTATGTACAGGGGTATAAAATGGAAGTTAGAAATAAAAAAAAAAAAAAAAAATTGTAGGTCAAAATTGGCAGCATGACAAATTGATCCAGAGCCGTTAGTGTACACAAACTTTTTAAATACAGTTCCTGAAAGTATTTCTGTTTGTGGTGTTACATTTTGAATCTATGTACTGTAAATATTTTCAAACCTTTTCAGTGACTGACACTCCCAGAGGTGGATTTACTATTTTATAGCCTCTGTATTTTTTCTGATCATTGGAAAACATTTCTGGAGATCCAGTTCTTTTAGAGTGATGCCAACTCTGTAAACCCACCAGTGGTAAATTCTGTTTACTATCAGATATTTGTACAAACTGCTGTTAAGTAAATAAAGTCTCAGTCACAGTGCTTTCTATGTGCATTTTTTTATTGTTTGCTTCTCTGGACGACAACCTATAGTATATGCACTTGATGCATTATGATAAAAGGTGAAGAGTCAGCCTGTTGGCCTGTTAAGTGCATCCGTGGTTATCTGCAAAGAACCGGAAATGTGTTTTCCTATAATACAATATTGAAAGCCCACACGATTTCCCATCATAGCTCAGCCCTCTGTCACATGGTTCAGCAGTTAGTTGGGTTACATCCAAGACATCAGGAGGTCAGCCTCTGAATGAACAAGAGCTACATAACTTTCACATTTCTGGACACCATTTTTTCTTTCTTTTATTTTTGCTTTCAAGATTTGAGGGAAGATTAAAGCAGCATAATCAGCGCGCCACGCCCGGAGCCTTGTCATCAGGGTTTGTAATGACTCGCTGCGCAAAATTTGTTACACAAACTATATTTCCTCTTCACTAGAGAGGAACTTTACTTTTCTACTTCCTCATATAGCATTCATCTTGCTTCCAGGTCAGAGTAAGAGTGTTTTGTAGTGCGCAAATTCAACATTTTAGGAGTTTTTAAATCATGCGGCTGTCCAGGTGCGCGCGGCGCTCCTTCCTCACTGTTGTGCGTGTCTGTGCCATGTAAGGTGAGCTGTTATCCAGGAGCGATGACGCTGAGCGCTGTGGGGTCCTGCTGCCTCAGTCCAGAGGCCAAAGAAGCTCGGAGGATCAACTCAGAGATAGAGAGGCAGCTCAGAAAGGACAAGAAGAATTCCCGACTGGAGTTTAAACTCCTACTGCTGGGTAAGGGACAAAAACTTACCAAAAAAAGAATCAAATCAAATATCTTGCATTTATCAAGTTTGGAGGTCTATTTCAGTTTTAAAAGATAATTTAATAAAACTACAAACGCACTTCATGTTTTTAATCTTGCACAAAGTTTATTTTCATTTGTTGTATAACTAAACCTTATAAAAAAAAATACCAAACTCAAAGTGCATATTTGCTGTTTTGTTTGTGACACTAGTGCAGTAACGGTACCAAATGAAAACCAATTAAAATAATCACTTGATTCTTCTATATTCAGCAGCAATCAATAAAGTATTGAAAGTGTTTGATATAAATTATAGACAAAGGTGTAAACATTTTGCTTGCTGTGCGTTGCTTTCTTAAGAGATTTATGTTGCATACATGCTAAACATCATTGTTGCTTACATTCCCTTTATGATCTGTGTGTGAAGCTCTTTGTTTTTATGACTTATACGTAACTGTTACTGGCTTGCTTAATTATGGTGAACCTGTTAAGTTGCGGTTACTCTGTTGCACCATGTCTCAAAGCTAAAATCAGCTCAAACTGGTTTAAGTATCAAAATCTCAATCAGATGATGTTGACACAAGGGGTTTACATAATGGCCATCTAACCAACACATCTGCACTAATTGTGCGATCCTATCGTTTCCGTATAAACCATCATCTCAGGAGTTTTTCAGACATCTTGTTGACCCTTCATTCCAAGGAAATACATAAGCATTACTGGGAACATGTAAGCTGCTTTGCTAAAAACTGACTCTTTGGCAATCTGTACTCCGTACTTTTGATGCAAGAATAAACACGTTGTTGATAATAAAAATAAAAACTTCCTTTGATTGGATGTGGTATTGCAAAAAATACTTTCAGAATCAGAATAGTGTTTGTCATTATGCTCATGTAGGAGTATTTGCATAACAGATTTTTGTGTGAAGCATAAAGGCTTTGACAGCATAAGAAGTAAAAACAACATCACACAATATAATATAAGATAAATGTTAACTGCAGTGAAGGTCAATAAAATTCTGTATATATGCGAGTCAATGGAAGTAATGGGGGCTGCTCAGTGTCGCAGTAGGTAGCACTGCAGAACTTTCCGGGTTTGTTTACTGGTCCGGGATCTTTCTGCATGGAGTTTGCATGTTCTTCCTGTGCTGGCATGGGTTCTCCCCTGGTACTCCGGCTTCCTCCCACAGTCCAAAAACATGACTGTTTGGTTAATTGGCTTCTCTAAATTCTCCTTAGGTGTTATTGTGTGTGTGAATGGTTGTTTGTCCTGTTTGTCTCTGTGTTGCCCTGCAATGGACTGGCGACCTGTCCAGGGTGTGCCCTGCTCTCGCCTGTAGACAGCTGGAGATTGGCACCAGTACCCCTCGCCAACCCCAGCAGGGATAAGCGTGAAGAAAAATGAAAGGGAAGTAATGGATTTTTATTAGGGAAAAAAATTAGTGTAAACCCATTCTCTGATGGTTCTGAACCACTTTCCTGAAGGCTGGGGTACAAACAGACTTTGGGTAAGGTTATGTGTGACGATCCTGGCTGTCCTCTGAACATATTCAGAGTATTTGGAATCCAAATCAGGGAGAAGACATCCGAACATTTTCTTTGCTGGTTTGACCACCTACTGTAAGGAAAGTCCTTTCTTTACCATGAGGTGCAGCTGCCAGTAGGCTTGTCATTGTCTGTGATTAGACCTATAGTGTCCATATGGTTTGCACACTTCAAAAGCAGGTTGGAGTGGAATGCATCTCACATTTATGAGTGAATAATTGTAGAGCAGAGCTCTGAGCACACAGCCTTTCATAAATGTAAATACATGGTCTCAAAACATCATTTTAATTAATTGATTTTTAACTATTTTTTGGAAGTTTCTGATGAAATTATCCTGTTAGATGTAATATATGCATCTCAATGGTTCTTTATTAAATAAGTAGGAAAACTGTCTTACTATCTTTTAAATCTAAATTTTGTGCATCAAATCTTGTTGTTGTGCAATTATGTGATCTTCAGTCATCATTAATTTGGCTAGAAGTCATCACCGTAACAATAGTAACCGTTGTTGCGAACCTTTGTTTACTTGGAGTTTGCTCAGTGACACCACCTGTTCAAGAAGGGCTGAATCCCAAACCACCCCCTAAGTACTAACTCTTAACTATCAAGTGTCACTCCAAATGAAGTCACAATCATAGCTTTGGAAGGCGTCTTGATTGAATGTGGGGTAATAAACGAGAATGGGACGGCCTCTTCCTTCTGATGGAAAAGGAAAGCAGTCGTTGCTATGGCAATACAATGACGTGTCATGTGCTTGGCTGTAGCTCTGTGGCGCCCCTTTTTAAAAACAGATGTATAAGGTAAAATAAAACCATTTCACAGATGACCTTCCAGTTTGGAATTTCCGCAAATCAGTGGAATTTACATTTGGCGGAATTTTTTTCTTCCGCCACCAGGCCGCCGTTAAGAGGGTTAGAGGATAAGTGCACAGGGTTAGTGTTTAAGGGTTTGGGATTGGGCACAGTAGAGTACATCGTCATACCAAACCACTGTTGCCGAACTAAAGCAACCCTTTTAAGGCCAAAAGTAGTTCAGGTTAGCCAAAGGCCGAAGAAAAAAGCAGCAATGTCAGGAGAAGTACTACAATAGATCAGCTAAAGACCTGCCGCAGTTGACTGTGAGGATACAACCATTCCTATCCCACACTGTCTGGAGGATAGGCAGAGTACTGAGGCCAGTGGATGGGAGGTCCTATGAAATTCAGTTGCACTCTGGAAGCATTAGTAGGAGCAATAGCAGAAACATCAGGCGTGCACCAGGTGTGACCTTTACTGACCCTCTCGATATTGAGATCAGCATTCCCAGTCAGCCAAAAGCTGTGCGATGCAAAGAGTCAAACACTGTCCCCATTTCGCACTGTGTAACCGCACGACCTAAACCCATAGAAACTGGCAACAGAGACAGCCCAGTCACAACCAGGGCTGGTCGTTCAGTGGTGCAGCCACAGAGGTATACGGACTGTGTGGTAAAATACTGGTGAAGAAACTGATATGTTGATGTCTACATGCATCCTGCACTATGGCGAAGTAAACAAGCACAAAATTTACAGTTTAAATTTGTTAATATAGATGTTATCATTTGCAAATTTCAGGTTGTGACCTAATATCAACATTGATTTTAGTTGATGTTTACTGTGTTTTCAGTTTTGTTAGATGTTATGTTCATTAGTTTTAGATGTTATGTTGATCAGTTGCTAATGGCAGATTTCGATTTATGACCATATAAAAATGCTTAGGATGTTTTACTACGCCCTGTTCTTGTGAGACTTTTGTTTGTTGGTTATAGACTTATTTTGAGATTTTGAGACAGTACTTACTCTCAAAGGAGAAAAGATGTAAAAATAGGAACTATTGTTGGGAACCTTTGTTCACTTTCTCAAGAATATTTTTAAGTGTGGCACTATGTGTTGAAGACTGGTTTTTGAGTTATTCTACACTATGAGAATAATAAAGTTTGTAACCGGAATGGGTAAACACTAAAAGAAAGAGTCCTTCACAGTAAAAGAGAACAACTTTAACAACCATGACTTTTTTTTATAGAATTTGTATTTTTTAAGTAAATTTATGTCTGGTATGAACTGGTAGAATTAATTTAATTGTTTGGCTTTGATCATAGACCACACATTTGGGAAAGTTTGGGACTTTGGTAAAGTATTAGCTTTCTCTCCTGACATTTATATTCTTCTTTGTTGACATTGTGCTTGACACGTGGTTCAGTGTCTTAGATTCTTAATGTCTAACATGGACACCTTAAGCTTGGTTTATACTTGACACATCTAAGGGATACCTCCTCTTGGGCTTCCACACCCCTCTGTGTGTACTCTGTGCAGGCAGAATTTCTGCACAGAGCCCCTAGGAAAATTTGTAGCTATGCAGACAGATCCACGCAGAACACATGCGCTGTGTCTGAATGTCAGCCCTAACCCCTAAATCCCTCAATCACTCTATAGAACAGGGACTAAATAGTGCACTTTATAGTGAACTCAGTTAACTGACCGTTTGGACAGATAATTACCACTTTTCACTCCCCGTTGGTCCATAACTCTACCTCCCTGCACGGTACCCGTGCCATCTTTATTTGTCGATTTCACTACCCGATCCTTACCTGAAGCTCGATCCATACCATCATCTCATCTACATCCGGGTTGCCCTCGATTTTAATTTCTAAGAAATACCTAAATTATGTTTTTGACTCCTTAAAGAAAGTAAGTATACTAAACTATAATGTGTTTAAGTTTAATAATGTTTTTCCTCAGAAAATAAATGCAATAAAATAATTTCTGTTTTATGTATCGTCTGTTCCCATCTGTAGCGGAAATTTCCGGAAGCGAACTTTTGGCTTCAGGTTTAAACATAAATCTAGTCTTTTTGAGTTTTATTTTTTCCTTTCCTGTTAACCTTATAGTATATAACAAAAAAAGAAGATAAACATGGTTTAATCACATTTTGCCCGACTACTCTATGCATGTCCAATGATTACGTCAGACAGGCTGTTTAATAGAGAAAATGTAAAAAGCATTGGATTGTCTCAGGAAAGTCATAAAAAATGTTTTAAAGATTTAAAGACATTTTTTTATCGATTATAGGATAGAAAAAGTACTCTAGTACCACGATTACATTATTTATGGCAATCTGGATGAATATCTGCTAGCACATGCGCAAATGAGCTGATGGTACAGATTGTGCTTCCGGTATAGATCGGGTAGTGACAGTCGCTGCCACACAATTCCCATCATGCTAAGGGAGGAGAGCTCTCGCAAAGCAATTTGAGACATACCTTCCAAATGGCCATGGAGAGCGAGCACCAGCTCCTGCTGGCCAGAGTTCTTCAAATGTTAACATCTACAGACATCCTGTGATTTAGTTAATAAATATCATGACTATCAACACATTGACGAAAAACTGAAGGAAAGGAACTGCTCTGGCTCTTAAGTGACATGAAGAGGCTTTTTTAAAAGTTTTAAACCACTGTGTTTTCTACTTCCTCGTGTAGTGTGGTGTTGTCAGCTTGCTGTTTGTACTGAACATCCCCCCCACACCCCGGAGCCGGCCAGACTGTGATGGGCGGCTCATTTTTGCATGGAATGTCCGGCGTCAAGCATAATGAGGCCATAATGAGTCCTTTAAACTAAGCTTCCTGTGACCGAGGCAGATCATCTAAACCCTTCTTCTTACTAAGCATGAAAGTTGTCTCTAAAAGGCATTTGGCATACCTAAGTGAGTTGTTGCAAGTATCATTTGTGATTAAAAATGTTACCTAAGTCAGCAGTAGTGACCTAGTTCTTGGCTGTTTCACAAAAAAAGTCTATGGTGTACAATTGCTTGAACTAATGATCTTTGCATCTGCATGTAGATTTTTATCATAATTTCTCTAGAAATGGCTCCAAAAGACTCCCATTGCTCCAAGTATTATCCGAGTGCTGTACTACAAAACCATCTTAAGGAAAGCAAACTGAGTATCTGCTTCGGTTAATTATTAAAAAGTACTGAAATGACCTTTATCTTGCTATGTTGAAAGACTCACTGTGATTGTTAGCACTGGTTATTCAAATAATTAAATCTGAATACATTTGTACATGTACGTTTGAGCCTTTACATTTAGGCCCTGAATTATCCAAACCTCTTATATATTTAGGTTTTAAGGAAACTTTAAGCTTGCCCAATATGTTTATCCTGGCTGGGAGTAAGAAGAAACAGAACATAAGCCCAGACTTAAATCTGAGAGAAATGGAGAGATCTAATCATTAGCTAGCTATAAGGGCTTTTGGTAATACAATCTTTAACCCTCCCTATACTGCATATTAATTAATTACATGTTCCTGTCTGCGTCCAGGAACTGGTGAAAGTGGGAAGAGCACTTTCATCAAGCAGATGAGGATCATCCATGGTCGTGGATACACTGATGAGGATAGGAGAGGCTTCACCAGGCTGATCTATGAGAACATCTTTACAGCTATGCAGGCCATGATCCAAGCCATGAGCACATTACAGATCTCTTACAAGAATCAGTACAACAAGGTATGCCTGACGGGATTTTCTGTCTTTTTCTGTTTCTTTTTGTTGTTGTGTCACTTAAACAAATTGAGAAAGATGTTTGACCTCACACTGTTTCAAAGAAGCATTTGCAAGCTTTTCTTGCAGAACAAGCAGTGCAAATTTACAGTCTAATACACACCCCAGAGAAACACTTCTGGTAATTTTCAACAGTGTTTAGTTTTGCAATGTAGCTGCCAGCAAATTTTGTCTGCTTGCAGAGCAGACTGTCTCCTGTATAAACACATGGTGGTACATGGTAGGCCTATAGAGACAGACAATTCCCTATTAATCCCATAGGAATTTGCACCTGTCACACCAAAGAACACATTAGTCTCTTAAATTTGCTGGCTCATACAAGTATGCAATAGTTAAATAGCAAGAGTTTTAGGTTAGGTTTAGGATGAGATGCAGACACAAGCCTAGTGAGTCAGCTTTTGACTTGTAAGGAGATGGGGCTGTGTAGTAGCTCACAGAACTTAGGATGAATTTGTAGCCCAGGAATAAGATATCAATTTAAATGCATTGATGGTGGCCTAGTGAATTTAACCAGTTTAGATTTTTGAAACTTGAGTGAAGTCAACTTAAAGGTGCAGCGAGTAGTTTTCCATTGATACTGCCTGTAGCCAAAACATAGAACTGCAAAACTCTTCTGCTCATTCTACAAGTACTTAACAAGGTTTTTTTTATTTTGTTTTATCTTTTTGTTGGTTCCCAGTCGCTTAGGAGTATCCATCTTAAATATAACGCTTCAATTGTTTGTTAGGTTGGACCGATTTTAAATGGATGCTCTTGACGTCACATTTGCAGAACAGCATGGGAACACCTGACCTGAAGTACATTCAGAGAAAATGGGCTACAGGCTTATGCATTGGTGCTGAACTACTGAGGTGTCACTCTAATTATCAAATGTCGTTTTAGTTATTAAAGGTAAAATAAAAAAGCTATTTTAAAGATAGTTAAAATGTACAAATGTTTCTTTAAAAACTGAATATTTATTCAGTTTCTCTTTAATCCATATGGTGTAGAAAAAAGGTTGCCAAATTTTTTCAGCTTTTGACCCACAAATAATGCCAGAGCCTCATTAGCCAAAGTGTTTCTCAGTTATACAAAAATTTCTTCAACATTAATAATACAGATGTGAAAATATTACTATAATTAATAACCAAAGTAGTTTATTTAGTCATTTTTAAGTGATGCTTATATCTTTCAGCACTTTATCATAAATCTTTATTATAAATCATTTATTTTTTTTGATATACTTCAGTAAAAATGTACAAAATGTCTTTTTAAAAACTGAATTTTTATTTGCCGGGTCATCCACTGTGCTTTAGCAGTTTGCTCAACATGTCTTTCACTTCCACCCGTAATATGACTCTCAACACTATACCTAGCAAAGAGAGAGTGAACCTTTTACAATCTATTTTACTTTGAGTCTCTGGCTCTGATGTTGCTGCCTAAGTGATTCTTTTTTCCAATGGAGTTCAAAATGAGGTAATTGTTCCCACTTCTTATTGCAAAGCAGTATTTTGCTTACACACATACACACCCAACAGCTGCAGAATATGCTGAGTATATATTTTCATAACAGGACTATGTGTACTGAATGCCCATTATACAGGAGGCTGTAAAAGGAAGACTTGGAAGGCTGCTACATAAAACACACGGTCCCTTTATGATCCCTTTGCAAAGATATTCCCCAATTGTACTTTATCATGCGTTGCTTAAATACGACGACAAACATCTACCATTTTGTTTTGATTTTATGCAACAGACCAAAAGTGATTCTGAAAAGTATTGTGCTTACCTACTTTACTCCAACACTCTCAAATAAAAACACAAACCAAACTGCCTTGCCTCATTAGCAAATAGTCATCCTGTTGGTATTTAGATCCTACAATAAACCCAACTGTTCTACTCAGGTCAAGAGGTTTGCTAGAGAATACTTGTATGGTAAAAGACTCATGAAAACCTGGAAACACCCCAAACATGTTAGAAATAGGTTAAGGTTAGATCAAGAAATATCTAAAGGTTTGATTATTACACAGAGCACTGGTTAGTTCCTTGTCTGTGAATGGAAAGAGTTAAATTAAATTCAATTTATTTATTTAGTGTCAATTCACAACACATGTCCTCTTGAGGTACTTTACAGAGATTATTCAGCGAGATCATATAGTCAGATTGAATGAAAGTTTTCTATCCAAGGAAAGCCAGCTGATTGCATTGATTCATTGACTCAAAGGCAATTCCTCACACCAACCATGCTTGTTGTGACAGTGGAGAGGAAAATTTCCTTTTAAAAGGAAGAGAGCTGCAGAACCAGTCTCGGTGTGAGGGGCCATCTGGCGAGGCCGACTAGGGTTCAAGGAGACAAAAGCAGACATAGAAACAGAAACATAGATGCAAAAAGCAACTATCAACCAGCTCCACAGGCGGCCCCATCCAGGAAACACACAGCCTGGCAGACAAGCTCTGAGCCAGCTTCCATGTCAGACGATGAAGAGAGCACATCCAGCCAGTCACAGTCAGAGAAACAGGACTACACTGAAAACAGCCCGAGCTCCAACACCTATAAACAAGTGTTTATGACGCTAGCAAAGCTTATATTTCTCTCCAGGATGGTGTCACAGGGAAAACAGTAATAGACCAGATGAAAATACTATGATGAGAAAAAGCAGAGAAAGGATAACATTAGAGATTGAACTAACAACTTATGTTGAACGGGAGAATACAGATAGAATGATGAAAAGGGGTCCCAATGTCCGCCAGCAGTCTAAGCCTATAGCAGCATATCATAGCTCAGGGTAACCTGAGCCACACTAACTAGAAGCTTTATCAAAAAGGAAAGTTTTAAGCCTACCTAGTTTCTCAGCAATGCTGACTTCCTAAATGAACTGAACAACTTCTTTTGAAGGTTTGAGGCACTAAACAGCACTCCAGCAGTGAAAGCTGTTCCACACCAGGGGGGAGGAGGCACTAAACCTGAACATAGCAGAAGTGAGGAAAACTCTCAGGAGAGTCAAGCCAAGGAAGGCCCCAGGGCCTGATAACATACCTGGGCGGTTGTATAAGGAGTGTGCAGTTCAGCTGGCAGGTGTCCTTACAGACATTTTCAACACCTCGCTGGACCAATCCATAGTGCCAGCATGTTTCAAGTCTGCCACCATTATTCCAGTCCCAAAGAAACCTCAGGTTCCCTCAGAAGACAAAGGAGATCATCTTGGACTTCAGGAAGAATCGGCCTAACCACGCTCCACTGGTCATCAACAGCTCAGCTGTAGAGGTGGGCAAAAGCACCAAATTCCTGGGGGTGCACATCACAAACACCCTCACCTGGAATGTAAACACCACCTCACTGGTCAAAAGGGCACAGAAGCGCATGTACTTCTTGCAGAGGATGAGGAGAGCCCACCTGCCCCTGCCCATCTGCATGACCTTCTACAGAAGCACCATAGAGAGCATTCTGACCAGCATCTCAGACTGGAAGAATGAGAGAAGAGTGGTGGGAAACTCAGAGAGGATCATTGGGGCTCCTCTTGCCTCCATAAAAGACATTTCATCCTAGCACTGCATTTCCCGAGCTCGTAACATCATCAATGACCCCTCACACCACCACCATGGACTGTTCACCCAGCTGCCCTCAGGGACGAGACTTCAAAGCATTGGATGCAGGTCCAGCAGATTGCACAACAGTTTCTTCCCCACTGCCATTAGACTGCTGACTGTTTTGTAAAATGGGTTATTGTATTGTATTTTATTATATTTATTATATTTTATCCTTATATTAAGAAATAAATGTTAGAACTGTAAATTTACACTCATATGTATATATATATATATATATATATATATATATATATATATATATATATATATATATAATTATTATTTTTCAAGGCTGCACTTTGAAAAAGATGAAGTTGTTCTAATTTTTACATTTTTATAAAACACTACAAAATATATATATATATATAGAATTGCAACATTTGTAGGGAAATGCTGAAACAAACATTAGCCTCTGTTATTGTAAAAAAAAAATACATTAATAAAACAAAATATAAAGGGCTTTCTACAGAATTTTGACTTTGATGGTTTAAATAGAAATGTAGATTACAATTTTAAGATTTTTATTCTTAAAAAGGTTCATTTCACTTCAGTTTTGCAATTAGCAGTTAAATATGTCTTATAAAACACCTTTAATTCACTCTTAAGTTGATTGTTGGGACATAGAAAAAATTTATAAAAGTTTGAGGTGTATGAATGGCCTTGCAAAAGTATGAATACTTGGATTATGGATTTACAAAGTATCTACACCTTCTGCAAGGCACAAAAAACAACCAACTTCTGGCCTTGTATTAACATTTGATTGTGTTGCATACATAATAGTTCTTTAATCCCAGTTAGTGTGTATATACTGTACGTGATACATAAATGTGCATTAATAAGATTTAGTAATTTTATAATAATAATTGGTGGATGACAAGATTCAAAAAGAGTCTCCTGAGCAGTTTGTAGTTATCCCATTTTGATTAATATGATTACAACATAAGAATATTGCAGCATTCACAATATAATGCAGGGGATACCTGTCTGCTAGCCTTTTTAACTATGTGCTTTCTCAAGCTTAAAGGAGGAAGCCCATTATGGGGCAGTTGTTTGTTGCAAACCAGCTGGAAATGTGATAAAAATCACTGAGACAATGTTTTTAAACTACACTTAATGAGTGCTGATAAAATCTGCTGGCAGCAGCGGCCACTTAGGCTGGGGAGTCTTCGTGTTTTCTGGCACGTTTCTGTCTGTCTAAAATTACGGGAGGACTCTTTTCCTCATAGTTTGATATTAATAATATAAGCCTTGTATAATGCAAATGCTGTTGCACAAATTCTAACAATTAATAATAATAAAAGATTAATTTATAAAAGTAAATAAGCAGCTCTTAAATTTTTTTTTCATCATTATATTAGAAGTTTCCGATGATTTAATCAGCTTGTTCACATTATTTAGAGAGTTTTAAGATGTATTTCCTAGTAGTTGTGTTTTTCCCAGCTTAGCGGTTTGAGTCGCAGCAATAGCAATAGGAAGGGTACGAATGTTTGCAGTGAGCCATTACAGACTGAGGCAGCTGGGAATGTTTCCCAGTCAGAGATGCAATCGGAAACGAGCATAACTGAATGTAAGCACATTACATTAAATGATCATAATGCTGCTCCAACCTTAAGTAGGTTTTTGCTGAAATATTGATCTGCAGCTTAAAACTTCAAACAAGAGGTGGAAGAACCTTTTTGAAGACTTTTTAATATGAAAAATATATGTGCTGCACTGACTTTATATTCCTGTTACTTTGGAATAAGTTCTGACAGGATAAAAATTAATAATCTATTATGTCACTCTTTGTCTCAAACTTACCTTCTTTTTGATATTTATACATCCAGTTTTTTGTATTTAGCTTTGAAGAGTATAATAAATGTTTCCTGTATTTCTAGACTTAAATGTTTTTAATAGTTGTGTTTCTGCATTTAAAGGAGTTCTGTCCATACTATTGTCTTAAAAGCACAATTATGTAAAGTAGGTGATATCAGCAAATGCGTTCATACTCCTAACATTTCTATGTTTGATAAAGTTTATTAACACAATCTTCATTGTGTTCATTTGAGATTTTATTTTCCAGGCCTATTGAAGGTGTTATAAAATTATGAAGTAGATGCAAAACGATACATGATTTAAACATTTTTGCCAATAAAAATCTGAAAAATGTGGCATGCATTTTCCTTCAGCCCCGTTGACTCTGAGGATCACAAAATCCAGAGCAACAAAATGTCTTTGAAATGTGCGTTACTAAATACCTAATCTAGTCCAGATGTGCAGAGTTTAATCTCAGCTTTTATCCCACAGTTTTGTTATAGAACATTACTGAAAAATCATATTAATGATTTCAAGGAACACAGCAGGACAGGAATAAAGTTGTGGAAGAGTCTAAAGCAGGGTTGTGTTGTACAACAATATCCCATGCTGTAAACACCTTATGGAACAGCATTCAATCCATCACCTGAAAATGAGAATAGGCGGAAGACACTGCAGAGCAAGGAGAACATAAATCAGAGAAACAGCCAGGGCCACTGGTAGCACTGAAGCTCAGGCAGGAGAATCTGTGAACAGAAAAAAACTATTAGTTGTCCATTCCATAAAGCTTTTATTAAAAAGGCAAGAAGAAAACAGTTGTGAAAGGAAGGAGTTCCTCTTGCAGTTTCCCCCAACCCCTGTAGGCAACAGGGGGACTGAGAAAAATGTGAAAATGGAAGCTGTATTTTGATAGGACCAAAATGTAACATTTAATATTTATGCAACCCTCTGTGTGGTAGAAGCACTAACCTTTCAGGTCAACACTTATACACAGCCCACTGTTGTAAAACAAGGTGTTGGTAGCATCATACTATGGGGATACTTTTCCTCAGCAGAGGCAATGAAGCTGGCATGGCAGTGGGTAGGTTAGGACCCCTAAACATACACCCAAATCTCCATAGTTTTAATAAAAGCATATTCATGTGAAAGAATGGACCAGGAAAAGTTAAGAGTTTTGTTCTTCCAAAAGACCTGCAGCATTAATGGCAAAAAACATTGGTTTAAAAAAAAAAAAAAATGACCTAGATATTCCTAACTTGGAAGGTTTTAGTAGTAAAGTAACAAAATCCGAAGGTTTAATGACTATAAATACTGTTACAAGGTACTGTATGTGATTCAAGTAAGTAAAGTCTTAGTCTTGTTACCATGGTGTTCTTGCAACGCTGTTGTATTTCACAATGTGCTTTTTGTATATCTAACTGACATTACATTTTGGGTTTCAGGATAATGCGGAGTTGATCAGTCGCGTTGAAAAGTTAGAAACTTTAAAGAGCCCATACATTGAGGCCTTGATGAGCCTGTGGAGTGACCCGGGAATTCAGGAATGTTACAGTCGGAGGAGGGAATACCAGCTCTCAGACTCAGCCAAATAGTGAGTGTCAACTCCTTAAATACTGTCAAATAATTTAATATTAGGACCTTTTTTAGTTTAAAATTCGATTTTTCAATAATTCAACTGTAATTTGTTTTCCTCTGCAATATCTCTCTTTGCCTTTAGTTATCTGAGTGACTTGGCTCGAATAGCTGATCCTGCTTTTTTGCCAACCCAGCAAGATATCCTGAGAGTCAGGGCTCCCACAACAGGAATAATAGAATATCCGTTTAAGCTAGAAGATGTGGTATTCAGGTAAGTCTTATAGTTTCTGTTTATGCTTATTGCTGCCACAAGATCGCTAGTAAAGCCCCTGTCACACTTTGACGATTTAGCCAGCGTATGCCTGACGTCCGAGAATCTTCTAAAACGCTGGCATGGGAACTTTCTATGTATTTTTTCAATTTTGGGCATATGCATAGAGTATTCATAACAAGTCCGGAACCTATGTCAAATGACAGCCTAATTTATGCATAACGCATGGCAGCGTAATGCCCATGATGTCACAACCCAGTGTTCTGAGGGCGGTAGCAATGCGCCCAGAGGCGCCCAGCCTGCATAAAACGATTTCTTTGATTGTGGCATCAACCTAGCTGCTGTTTACCGCCTGCCAAAAGAAAAGAGTAAATTAATTTAATAAAAAGAAAAGGAAAGAAAGAAGGTTTGCAGTCGCAGCAGATTCAGCGTTATGTCTGCTAGGAAGTTTGTGGGTCGTGGCCGTGGGCGTGAACGCAGGGAGGATCCATCACACTCACCTTCTCGCTCACATTATGATGCAGATGAAGTCTGTAGGGGAACTGATGGTTTCCACCTCTAAACCCCCTTTTATATCAAAACGCCATTATACAGCAGCTGTAAGTTAGAAACATGTTCAGTGGTCGTCTGGAATGCGTCAAATACGTTGATATGCGTTGGAGATAAGTTCTTGATAAGTTACCCTAAGTTATGCATAGGTTTTGGATAAGCTGGAAGCCATGACTTATGAGTAACTCAAACTCAACGAATGTCAACAATCAAATACCTCACGTGTAACTTATGGCCCACGTGTTCGTATACACTGGCAAATGTCGGGAAATTTTAAGCATGCTCAACATTTCTCAATGGACTTGCCCTATGTTGACGTGTGCCAGCGTGTTTCAGTATAGTTCAGCGTACTTTACCGCACTTATAACTTATATAAAACATACTCATAACTTATCCAGCGCATGCCAGATTTTTTGCCAGATTTTTCATATGTCAGGCATCTGCTGTCTAAATCATCAAGGTGTGACTGGGGATTTAAAAATCTGATTTGCCGAAGCCATCAAGGATGAAAAAAGTTACTATTATTACTATAGGATATCGAGAAATACTATTGGTCCTTTTATTTTGTTTCTTTAACTCTGGCATATTTTAAATCATTTTATCATTCCAAACAAAAAACTGCAAAAAGTGGATAGTTGCCTTAACATCATAGAGAAGAATGAGAAGAATAAAACCTAAATATTATTTAGTAATATGTATTTCTAATATCTGTAGTATTTATAATTCAGTGATAATAGATCCGTTAATACCCATTTTATGATGAATAGAGCCTTTTTATTTAAATAATGAGGCAATTTTGGTGTCTTATAATATTGATAGACCATATTAGTTAAGTTCAGCAATGAACGATGTAACAAGGTTTGTCATAAGTTACTTAGATTATAGTAATACACCTACAGTGGCTGCCAATCGCCGTGTTCCTTGAAAACAAGTAAAACCACAAACTGTCATGTAGATGATAGCTGTTCATTGTGTAATAATTTGGTCTGAGTTTGACCAGACTTGCCGTTTTAGATTTTAATTGAAGTTCCAAAGTTCTTCAAAAAAGGTGAGATACCTCTTAATTCAGCTGCTGAATCAGACAGTGTGAGATCTCCATCCCATTTGATTCTTTATTGATGCTGCGAAAAGGATAATAAAAACAAAACTGGAAAAAGTATTTGCTTCATAATTTTCAAAAGTGTCTAAAACATACAGTACACTTGGGTGTACACTTTTAAATGATCCAACCTTTAAGATCATATTATCACGCATTTTACTGTACTTTTGCTTTTCATTTATGTTAATAATTAGTTTTATTATATGAATAATTCATTTTGAATATATTTTAATATAGCAAGTTTATGGGTAAGTATTCAGCAATAACAAAAAAACCTTATAATGGCCACATATGTTAAAAAGTTCTTAGTCCGGGCTACAATAAAATTGAATCACTTTTGAGAGGTTTTTCAAAAAAAGCCTGTTTTTTACACATATTCAAATGTTGAAACATCTGAGCAATGACTTAGCAAATAAATATCTATACCTTACTATGTAATCTTAATGCAACTATTGTAAAACTAAAAGGGTGTTAAATAAAATGGGCAACTGGTACTGGTACACACATAATAAAACAGTTTTAACAAAAGACAAAAAGAAACTATAGCCGCTAACATTAGAGGTGTCCGACTGTTGGTCAGTGCTCCAAAACTCTGGACACAGTTGTTTATTTGTGATTTATTTGGTAATTTAAATTTTACCAATTTAGAAATTCAATTACTTAAAGCTTAAGTTAATTAGTCTGTTCTTTATAGATGCACTTTTGTTTGTGTGTTAATGGCAATATTTGACAAGCAAAGTTATGCACAACATTGCAGTAGACCCCTCAGTGAAACTTAATGTGCAGGATTTGTATATGCTTGCAGTTGTTGCATTTTAGAAGCTCTTGCATTGTATCAGTTGTCCTATAAGGAGATATTTTTCATATAACCTGCATACAGTTTCCACTGAGAGAATGATAACATCAACCCTAACCCTTACATATTAAGGTCCTTCTATGATGGTTCGGCATTTTTTGCTTCTGAGGTTAACTCAATAAATGTAGCCCTGTCTTTGATTGGTTACTTTGTCTCTGCCATGATTTTGATCCAAAATAGTTTAAAATTATAGTTCTTGGTGTTTGTATATAAACTTATGACTTTTGAGAAAATAATTCAAAGTTATATCTCATTATCATAGTTTTTAAAAAGTTCTGCTTATCTTTACTGACCTAAAACAGAGCATGTTTTGTGTTTTTTTTAAATTGGCAATAAAAATAAACAGTTTTGAACTTTATGTCATTAAATATATTCACAGAGGATGGTTTTTGTTGGAAAAAGACTTCATATCTATTGTGTGGGAATGTCATGCATGAAAAAAACACTCAAAATGCAAAGAACACTGTGTCGCATTAGGAATGATTTCTTACGCTTCTTTTTGTTGCCATATTTGCATGATTTCCAATTAGTTAAACTGCAGGAATCAGCACATTACTGCTTTGAATTTGATGATCAGACAAACATGGATCTGTTTGTAGTATACCAGGAAAGATGTTTTAAGAGCCTAATGGGCAAATCACATGAGAAATAGTGCTTCAGGCTCTGTATTCATGTAATATTTAAGTAGGGTGGTTAATATCTCAGCTGTTTTGGGATTATTAGAGGTCATTAAACTTTTCACATATTTGTTAGCTCTGTCAGATGTGTTTATGGTGTTATTATTCTAAGCTTTCATGCGTTAAAGGCTGACTAAACACATCAAGCGCCAGTGTACATTTTACATACAGTACATAAATATATTTATATGGGCAGGAATTTCACAGTCATCTTGTGGTTAAAAACATAATTGCACAAGTGATTCAGTTAATTAGCAGAGGTTCAAAACTAAAAAGCTAAATGTATAAATTAACTCCTGGTGATACCTTGCTAAATGTCCTTTATTAGATTGGAGAGAAATAGAAATACACTTTTTGTGTTGATATTTGAGCAAGTTTATTGAAAAAGATAGAGCTACTTTGGATCGGTTAGTTTTGTGTTATTGAAGTAGAGATTGGGGGGTTTATTCAGAAGATTAAAGATAGTCTTGTTTGTTTGTTGTTATTCTTTTTCATTCAATTTTTAATGTGTTACAACATCATGAAAGGTTCTGTCAAAATTTCACCAGTCTTATTTCTGAGTTAAGGTGAAGTTGGAGAAAACACACGATCCTTCAAATGTGTATTTATTACTCCTAATAGCAATTTACATATTTTTTGCAATGCAGTAATAGCTGATAAAATAGTGCCAAAATGTAACTCTGTTTGTTGTTATTGTTATTCTTATTTGGAAGTCTCATCTGTACACCTTTATATGTTTTTCTTGCCTTTGTGGTCAAGAAGCTTTCCTCTCCTTGTGGGCAGAATATATAGCCACGCCGCTTTCCTCCTCAAACCTTTATTGTATCTTCTACCTTAGGCCTAAGCTGCAGTCTGTAGAAATGTGATAGCATGGTATTAATACTATTTTAATTAATTTGATGATTTTTCTTTATGGCACCAACTTGTTGCCTCAGGATGGTGGACGTAGGTGGCCAGCGTTCTGAGAGGAGGAAATGGATTCATTGCTTTGAAAAAGTCACGTCCATCATGTTCCTGGCGGCGCTAAGCGAATACGATCAGGTTCTAGCTGAGTCCAGCCATGAGGTGAGAAACAGGCTGCTGCTTTTGCCTAAAAAATAAAACCTTCTTTTTCCTCCACACAGTATCTTATTATTCCTGTGCATGGGGGGAGGTGAAAGAGGCTCACTTTGGGATGATAAAAAAAAAAAATCCTTTTAAGGGACACAAAGGGAGATTGTTCTCTTTGTTTAAAGCCAAACGTGTTAAGTGGAAATGATGACCCAGATTTCTGGAGTCCAACACCAGCTTGATGTCTCTCTCCCTTTTTCTCTTTCGTTCTCACTCTCTCACTCCCTCTCTCCATTCCGCTTTCTATTTCACTTTTGGTCACGCTCAAAAGCCTCTTCTCAATCTTCCGTTGTGGCTATGCATGTGGTTGATCTGCAGGGGGAGCCCTTTAGTCACTCTGTTCTGCAAGGGGCGCCTCTGTGGGAAGCTGCTTTCTGTAATGATTTGTCAGGCAGTTGACTTTTCCCATGCAATCATTGCTCAGTTACTGCTTTCAGATTATTCTCCTAACATCTCTCCTTTTGTTCATGTGCTTCTCAAAGAACCGGATGGAGGAGAGCATAGCCTTGTTCGAGACAATCACAAGATACGAATGGTTTAATGGCTCCTCATTCATCCTATTTCTCAACAAGATGGACCTGTTGAAGGAAAAAATCATGTATTCACATTTGGAGGACTATTTTCCAGAGTATAATGGTAAGGGCTAACATTTGAATACCACAGCACCCCCCACATTTACTCCCCCCCCACCTTGTATGTCTTGAAAGCTTTGCAGTATTAGATAAAAAAAATATATCTTTAATCTGAGCACATTTATCAGTGGAGAGGGGAAAAACAAAAAAAAAAACAAACGGGGACAAATATTTTTCTATTTCTGTCACTGATCCCACAATTAGTAGAAATCTTAGCAATTCTTTCAAAAGCTAATAGGGTTCCAATAATCCACCCTTTCCTGTTACCTTTGGGGGTAATTTTTCCCCATCCTGTCTTTAAAATGATAATACATAGACATCAATTCAGCTCAGTTCAAAAATACTTTATCCACCCCCAAAGAAAACTGGAAGATTGTTGTTACTCACACTATGCAAGTTTCTTCAAAGAGTTTGTGTGGAAGGTGATGGCTGTGGGCTGCAAGAATGCCCTGTAGTGGTCCATATTACAGTGACCTTGATTAAGCCTCTGACAGAAGACCATCTCTTGTTGTAGGACACTCTGAGAAAGAAAATGCTCAGGATTATACATTATGCTGCCCCCTTTACAAACATTCCTTCTTTACAAAAATCATCCAGGGCCCAGAACACAGAAGGGGCTCCTTATCAGCCAGTTAAGTGTTTTTTTTTTATTATTAGCCAGCTCCAAAGCTCCTGGAATTACACATGATGGCAGACGATATCCCACTCTTCTCTACAGACTTGTGGAATTAATTGCAACCTCGTGCTGCAGATACTTAAAAAAAAATGTGTGGTGCGCTGCACCTCTTGTAAGCAGCTTTATGTCAGACTCGCACTGAATGTACTTCAGCTGTGGTGCAGGCTTGTTACAGAAAGTCACTCCCACTGAAATCTGCGACCGACCAAGCTTTCATACTGCTGCTCCAGCTTCAGAAATGGTGCTCAGGAGAAAAAAAGTTCATGTTGGTTCACGCTCTTCAGGAGTTATCGGAAAAAAGATTGTTATTGGTGCTAATGTATCCCTTTTAATTCTCAAATAGCCCCTCTGTTTGTGTTTTGCTTTTTCCTTTACTCTAGTCAAGTTAGTGTAGGTTGGTCAATTAATTTTATTCTGAAAGTCAGTGGGACTTTATCCTGCTTTGTACCCTGCTTTTCCTGTTGTTTTAAATTGGGGAGCATGATGTGGGGACGTCTGCGGTGTGTGGCCAAACTTCCTTCTTGCGGAAATACTCTGTTTCTTCTCCAAAACATAATGTTGTCTAGATAAATATTTATCTTTTGCCAATCCTGTCCTTGTTCACTCATGACTGTATCAATCATGCAAATCCCATATCTCCTACAAAAGAATGCCATGATGAGATTATTTTGACACCAATATCCCACAAAGTGGTTCTCCACCTCTGTACTTTTTCAGCTTTTAATCTGGACTCATACTGACATGTACTGGAAGTCTGAAATATGCAGAATGAAAGATGATGTTAAGAGTACAGTCCCCTGTGGCGCTCCTGTGCTGCTGACCACATAAAGAGACAGACAGTACTTCTGTGTAATCCATTTGTCAGATTATCATCACTTCAGACTAGCCAAGTTCTCCATCTGTATTTCTGGATTTCTGAAAAATTAAATCGTGCTGAATCCTTTAGGATATCAAAGAACCTGATCCTGGTTTGTATTGCTGCGTACTTTGATCAAGAGTCATGGTGGTGAAGAAGCAGAATCCAGAGCAAATGTTGATGATAAAACATTTAAAGTGTGGAAAGCTGTGGGTAGCAGGAGAACTGGATGTTGGTTTTTCGCTAAAGGATAGTAGAGGAGAATGCTGAACATGTTCCTGAAATACACAGATTGAAGCATGTGTTCATTCTATCGGCCCTGTATAGACTTACACTGAGCTAATCCCACAACTGCTCAAAGCCTGTGATCCTCCTTATCCCCGACCATAGATCTATCCATTTTTTTCCCTGAAGACCTTGCTGTCTCCAATCTCGACTCATAAGTAGTTATTTCTATACTCCTCAATAACTCCTTGTCATCCACCCTGAAGGCTATCTTTTCTTGTTTAGCAGATCTCTCAGGTCACAGAGTTTATTAGGAAAGCATCTCACTGCTGTGTTGAGGATTAAGTCGTCTGTGGTTTATATATTTGGTCAGACACTCAATCATGGAATTGCTCTCATCCCTATGTGTCAGGTAGAATGAATCCTTAGCCATGGCTTCAAAACACTTCAACAAGTATCTTTGGTTCTCTGTTACAACCTTCTCAAAGTTATTTTCATCATAGATCAAAGGTTTATACATCAGGCAGAGGGATTAAAGAAATATCTAATTTAAGCTAGAAAGATATCGCTTTATAAGTCAGGAAATAGTCACAGGAAAATAACTTCTTGTCTATTGTCTCAACCAGAGCAATGACAAGGATGCTGTATTATCTTGGCTCCAAACAGGTTAAGAAAGAAGGTAGATGTAGGGCTGGTTTTCCTGCAAAGGCCCTGGGAACTTCCTCAGTATTTGCTTATCATGTACACACATATTGTAACCTGATGTGCTGAAGTAAACAGGTTTTACTGTACTATCAAGTGTGTATATTTTAGCCACTATCTAATTGTAAATGTATGTTTAATTCAAACTTTTACGTGACTAAAGCATGCGCTGTCACTACAACTATAAACTGGAGTTTGGAAATCCAATGGTGGGACTTTAACTTGAATCATGCAACAAATTATGAGCCCCATCTTTCAAGCTAATGTAAATTATAGTTAGAATTTACCACACTGATAATTATTATGACTGCAATTATTGTAGTCATAATTATAATCTTAAAAACTCACAGTCAGAAACATGGCTGTCAATGCTCAACATCAGGCACCTTGGTAAACATTGTTAATGATCTTCAATGCTGCAGTGGTGTTTTTGTTGGAGCGTTGGACATCGAAGTCGGAAGATTTTAAATAATCTGTTTTCCTCGGCCAGAAAACAAACACAGGGTGATCATTGTTAAGCAGGATTATCATCTTCAACGTACAGATACGTTTCATCAGATGAAAAAAAGATGAAGAAAATTCAAACCGCCTCCACAGCCCTCTCAGTCTGCAGGAGAAAGTGTGTTATAGAAGCAGCAGGCTGTAGATGAGGTTGTGGAGGGAGAGCTGGTCAGTGATCCATCTCTCTGTATGCTCCAGCCTTGTGAAACGTTATTCATGAAGACTGGGTTCATCCAGGATGCCTATAAATGCAGTGCCAGTGTTTTTTATTAAAGTGGTTATCTCTTCATGAGGGAGTAACCCTGCCACATAGATCTATTGTAATCAAAGATTAGATGTCACTATCATTTTAACTGAGAAGTTATACTGCTGCATTAAGATAAGCTTAATTTTTTAAGGTTCAGGTACATCAGGAACTCATTTCTCGTTCAAAAATAATTTTCATTGTATATATGTATTTCAAATTATTTAACTCTAAGCAGATGTCTTGTCTGACCCCCTTTTTCTTTTAGGTCCCAAGCAGGATGCTGAGAAAGCACAAAAGTTCATCTTGCAAATGTTCACCAGTCACAATGAAAACGTGGACAACCGGTTCTACTCCCACTTCACATGCGCCACAGACACAGGGAACATACAGAAGGTGTTCCAGGACGTGAGGCAAACCATCATACAAGAGAACCTGAAAGATCATAACTTGGTGTGAGCGCCTGGTGCTACTACTGTAATTGAACGCAGCCGGCGGACTGGGATGCCTCTGCAGCATCTTCATTTGCTGCTGCTGTTTCACACTTTAATCCAAAACAGGAAATTGGAGGACTTCAGAGCTTGTCATCAAATGACTGTACAGCCAATGCTTTTCAAATTTTCTTGTTAGAGTCTGTAAGTGGATGTCTCTGGCTATTACAAAGTGTGACCTGCCAATTAAAAGTGCTGGCTTTCAGCGGCGTCTAATATAGCGTGAACTCTGAAATTTATTGAGCGCTATGTAGACATTTTGGAGCGGTGGGAATGCACACTGGCAGATTAATAGGGGGAAACATATTTTACTGCCCTGGAATGCCTCAGAGGAATTGTGATGTAGTTGATCTCTCCCTCAGGGAAGGCGTGGGACTGAATGTTCTGAATGCAGAAACCTGGCATCACTAAAACAGTTTGCTGGATTTAAGTTGGATAGCTTGGGTTGTGGCTAGACTAAAAGGGAACAGGTCATAATAAACACTAATCATTAAACTTCAAGCACACTGTGCATGTTTTGTCATTGCTGCATGAAATTCATTTGAATAGGTTTGGATCAGCACTTTGGATCTGTGTGTGCTTACTTTGCTGAAGAAGAAGATGAATTTTCTGTGGAGCATACATGTTTTATGTTTGTTGAGGTTTTTACTGTAAAGGGATAGACACTTGATGTTTTTTGGAGTGATGGTGCAAAGTTGGATAGTTAAACATATTATTTCAAGAATGGTTGTAATGTTAAGCAGTTGTGTTAACTTAAAATGGATATTTATATACCTTTGATACAATTATACTGTCAAATGTTAATAAGCCTATGTTTTGTCTCTGAGCATTAAATTCAGTGTTACAAGGATAAACGGTTAAATGGAAAACTAGGTTCAATAAATGTTTATAAGAAAAAGACATGTTTTTACAGCCCTTTTGCTCCTAACTATAAAAATATAAGTTAAAAATGATATGTATATTCAACTAAAGTGCAAAAGCTTTGTTATCCCCTGAACATTAGACGTAATACATTTTATTGCAGGTCATATTGTATCCCTTCAGCTATTGCTGTTAAAATCAGAATGAAATAAGCCTTCAAAAATTATTTACAAAACTTCTGTTGAATTTTGGCCCAGAGTATGTGTAAATTGAGTCAGTTTTGTAGGCCACTTTGCTTTTACACAAAACATTTTTTTTTATTGGACTAAAAACAGGACTTTACCCTTAAAAAGTAACCAAATAACTTGTTTTCTTTGAGCCACATAAGCTGTATGTTTAGTTTAGCTGCTTTATGTTTCATATGAGAAAAGTTGAAATTATAATAAACTTGTTATCTTTTCAGACTGTGTTCCTTATGTATTACATTTTATTACTCAACTGTTGGTGTTTGTCATAGTGGTTGTAATAGTGGTTACTGTTGGCTTTCTAAAATGAAGTCTTTTTGAGAACATATATGTGGTAAGACTGTTAAAAAGAAAATGTGACTACATTTAGATGTTAGTCAAAATTTTTTCAGTTTTTTTTTTTTGTTGTTGTTGTGTGTGGGAACTTTAGATAAGAAGAATTGCCTTTATTTTCCCACAGTGGTGAAATGTGAGTGTGATGGTGGCAAAAACAAGTAGACAGAAGACAAACAACCTCACACAAAATAAGAACAGAAAAATAAACGTTGAATCTAACTCTACAGCAGAAAAAACAAACCTAGATGCCTCTCATACAGGAAAATAAACATTTCAGAATAGTCTGAAGGTGTAGCCATTTTATTTGTACAGTGAAAACACAATTATTGGAGCACCCAGTTGTGGATAGATATTGCAAATGGACCTCAGTCCATCGATCTAGGATTAGATCTGTTGCTGAACAGAACAAGCAACTGCATAAAACTTGATGAGTTTCACATAAATTATTAAGTTACTGTAGGATTGTGGATTTATAAAATAAGAGGTTGTAATGCAGTTGTATAGTTAGACAGCAGCTACAGTGGGACTATTTGGCAAATATGTTAACAGAAAATCAGCCCTTTAACATAAAAAAAGAGAGGAACTCAGGCAGGTTTTACTTTTAATAGGGACAAATAATGATTTCAACAGTTTATCCTTCCAAACATTAAAAGCAGCTTTGTGTTTAACCAGTATTAAACATATAGTTCAGCAAAATTATTTTCTAAATAATTGTTAAATTAGACCAAGGAATAATTAAATAAATGGTTCAAAGTTTTGTGTGTGTATTACTTTGACTTAAAAAAAAAATAATAATATATATATATATATATATATATATATATTTTAATATTAAATATTCAAGACGACAACAAATAGGTTTCATGGTAACAAGCTTAAGCTTATCTTAAACTTAAGCTTTATCCATTGGCAGACTCATTTCCATGTAACAGGAGCAAATAACAGAAATTAACTTTGGCAGAAAACAACATGAAAAATGCATTTATTGGTAATAGAAGCTGAACTATAAAAACAACCACGGGCCAGATATGAAGAACAAACATAATTAAGCTTTTTTTTTTTATATATAATATGTAAAACATGTTCACAGATAAAATACATCAACAACTATTCAGTGGGTTAATTATCTATGGTTGTTGTAAGATTACATCAAAGCAAACAGCATTAACAGCTTTGTCAGAAACTACCGGTATGTATCACATGCTAGCTTCAGCTTGTAACAACAGAGGTCCGTTTCCCTCACTGATCTCTATCTATGCACCGGATCGCTCATTGCCCGAAAAAGGTGAAGCCACCGTCTAACATGCTGGTACTCCCCACTCCCATCTAGACACGCAGTAAAAATGCCTACATCTGTAGCATTTAGCCGTAAAAATAAGCAGTTTGCTGGCTGTGGAACACGTTCCACGGGTAATTTTACAGTCAGTTGGTGTACTGAACAAGAAAATCCACATATAACCAATGTATTCTATAGTATAGTATGCAGAGTAACATTAGTCTGGCTATCTCTGACCGACTCTTAGATATCAACTAAATTGGCCATTGTCATTGTGTCTAATGTAAGAAAATAGAAAGTAAATAGAAAGTAATTCACTGTGAAATGCCAATGTAGTAATTCATTATCAAGTGGATGACTCAGTCGTTTTTGTAGTGTTTGTTGAATTTCCCATTTAAAAAAAAACTCAGATTATAATCTGAAACTTTAAATAGATCTAGCCCAAAGTCTGCATCTCTGAGTTTTCGGTTTATCAATGGCTGCAATGAATTAGTTCAATCAACACCAAGTAGAACCACTCAGAATTCAGCACGTGCGCAATGAGCATGAAAAGCCATTATTAGCGGAGCCCCGATCGACGAGTCACCATGACAACAGGCAACAGGAAGTACATATTTCACCCCACTGAAATTACAGATTTTAATGCAGAAATGAAAATATAGAACAGTGATCCAGCTTCAATGGAGAGGGAGATGGTGAAGGAGAAGATTTTTGCTCAGTTAATTTAGTTAATGCGTACGTTTATATGAAGTGGGCAATGGCAGGCTGTTTTTATATTTATCAAAAGTACTCCTCTTTGTTGTTCCGTTTGTAGATCACTAAAATAAAAATCACACTCCTAGAATGATCTGTAATGATATATTTTCTAAATTACATTTTTGTAGCAGAAACTGAATTTTAGAAAGTAAAAACACAACATGATACTGGTAAGAATAAAGATTTATATATCTAGAAATGTTAACATATTTTAAGTGATAATATTTTATCATTTATCAGCTTGACTGAATATGTATTTATGATATCTGAAAAAAAAATTCATAGTTAAAATAATACAAATGCTGACCAATATTATCAGGAATATGGAGATCTAAAATAGATTTAATGACATCCAGAATGTTTATTCTAGATGTTAATGTAAGTGTAAATTGTCATTTAGACAAATAAAAAATGTTTTTTCAGATACCAGGAATACATCTTCAGTAAAACTATCAAAACGGCTTGCCATAGCCTGTTGTGACAGCGATAATATTGGATTCTTTCTTGAATGGTTGTAAATCAATGTATCTTCTTAAGTGAAATCCTCTGGCAGCAGGCGTAAATGAAGTCTAAAAACGCTGTTATAATATATAGAACCTGTTCATCATCTCATAGGTTCCTCCTCATGTTGATTGATTTAGTCTGTTTTTACACTAAATACTAATCGGGTATTGGCAGCCGCACTTCGAATGTTATCACCCCAGTAAATGGTTGTTATTAGAGGCTACTAGACTGCCTTCAGGTTGTGCCAGTAGGCTCATTAGGTTGGTATCGAGTGAATCCTAATCCTAACCCTAAAGTAATACCTTTTCCCCCATCGAATAAATGAATCTATTTACGAATATTCTGAAAATAATTTCAGTAATTCTTCATGTACTGTAAATATAACTACACAGTAAAACTACAACAAATATCTGAGTAAATCAGGAAATAAAACAGAGTGATTGGCTGTAAGGAGAGCGGAGAGAGCAGACCTGCCACTGACCAGGTTAGCTCTGGGGAGGATGTTACTGTTATGACTAGGGTGGCCATTTCTATAGCACCAAAAAGGAGGACATTGTGCGGCATATCAATAAATTACTAAGGTGTACATAAGAATCGGGTAAAGTCACATTTATAGCACAATTCTTAGTAGTTTAAAGAGGATGCTTGTGTAGCTGAATAGAACAAAATATTAAAGAAATGTAAAAAAGAATTGGTTCCCAGCATTTGTATTTATTTAATACATTGTGGTGTTTAAAAAGTGACCATTTTTTAACACGATTAATTTGCGCAGAACTGCTGCAATTGATCATAAAGCAGTTGTTTGGAAAAGAAGCTCGAGAAAGAGCTAGAGAATAGGACGATGCAAACTGCAAAAAGTGGCTGGAAAAGAGGAATTCATGACATGGCTGCAGCCTGTCGAGAGTAAAGATGATTTCACCATGTTCTCTATCTATCCATATCTATCTATATATCTATCTATCTATCCATATCTATCTATATATCTATCTATATATCTATCTATCTATCTATATATATATATATATATATATATATATATATATATATATATATATATATATATATATATATATATATATATATAAACTTGAGTCATGGAACTGTGCTTACAGCTCCTTATTTCATGTAAACTAATAACTTGTGTACATGATACTTGTTGATGGCATTAAAATTATTTCTAATAGCATTAAAAGAGCATTAAATTAGAGTTCCTCATTCCTGTATAAAACCTGTGAACGCTTAATTTAATCTGACATATTAAAAAAATCCCCATCATCATCCAGCAGATGTTCAGTTTCTGCCCAAATATTTTCTTTCTGTTGTGGATTTTTGTAACAGGGATAACTAGGATCATCCATAGTTTGTATGAACTCTGTTTATTCTCTGCTTCCAAACTCATCATCTCTTCATCCATTCCTGCAATAAGAATTTTCTTTTAAAGTTGTGAGATTCACTCTAGAATCTCACAACTTCTTCCTGGTCTGTCTGCATCCAATTATTTAATTAATTGCTCTTAGTTTTTGGGAATATATACAAACTATGCTCTAATTTCTAGATACCGATCTGTTTTTACTATAATTTAATTTGACAAACCGGGTCTTCTCTACATTCTTTTTTCTGTTTGGTGCGTTTGCAATAGCGGGTCTTGATCTGGACGGACCGGAGGGGTGCAAAAAATAGCTCAGCTCCGTATTTTGACGGTGAAGGACGGAGAAGACGTACGTGGGCGGTGACGAGCGGAGGATGTGGAACAGCTCTCATTGATTTACATGACAGACAAGTACTCCGTACGTGAGCGGGGCGGAGCGCTGACGGAGTATGTGGAATCTGGGGGTAAAGGAGGACAAATACACGTCCGGCTGGGTGCAGCGCCGGACGCCGGACAGTGCAATGAAAATCCGGACTGTCCGCCCTAAAGCCGGATATCTGGCCACCCTAGTTATGACTGAAACAGAAGTTGAGGAAA